TGAAACAGCCTCTGGGCTGATCTAAGTCAGGGCACGGCTAACTTACAGATCAAACCCTGAAACAGCCTCTGGGCTGATCTAAGTCAGGGCACGGCTAACTTACAGATCAAACCCTGAAACAGCCTCTGGGCTGATCTAAGTCAGGGGACATCTAACACAAAGATCAAATTGGAATTTAGTATGATAGGTTTTGTGGTTTTGCCATTTTTCTTCTTTCAATCTTACCTTCTCATCTACGTTCAGCTTGTACCTGGCTGCAGCTAAGATTCTCTCTTCAATACTGTTGACTGTCATTAATCTAAGCACCCGGACCTCTTTCTCTTGACCAATACGATGGGCTCGATCTTGTGCTTGCAAATCCTAAAAAAGATTATAAATTTAACTTGTGGCTGGTCTGGAAAGTTAGCAAGACAGGGTTAACTGCTTACAACTGCATCAGCTGATAAATTACCTTTTCTTACTGACTACCTACCTACCAACCACTTACCAACACCTTACTGACAACTTGTCAACCACTTACACACCTTACAGACACCTTATCGACACCTTACCAACACTTTACAGACACCTTGCTGACACCTTACTAACATCTTATTGACACCTTTTGGATACCTTATGATTATGATATTTATATAGCACTCTTTTCCATATGGATATGCTCAAAGGCACTTGCCAACCACTTGCCAACACCTTCCCAACTACATACTGACTTTTTACTGACACTTTACAGACACCCTACTGACACCTTACCGACATCTTACTGACCCCTTACTGGCACCTTAACAACCACTTACTAGCTTGCCCCCTCCCCCCCAAACCTCTGCATGGTTCTCTTTGTAAAGGTGTCACCCACTAAACCAAATTCCCAAAAGCTCAAGCAAACATTCTAGTAATTTTTCCAATAATTCAAAAAGAAAATAATGATTTCCAAATCAAAATTAAAACTTTTCTCTCATCAGCATACATACTTGGTGAGGATTCCAGTCACTATCAAATATAACAACAGTATCGGCAGCCTGTAGATTCAGCCCAAGACCACCTGCCCTGGTGCTCAGAAGGAACACAAAGTATGGGGAATCCTTAGCATTGAACAATGCCAACAGTTGTCCTCTGTCTTCAGACTTGGTTGTACCATCAAGTCGCAGATAGGGAAGTCCTTGAAAAAACAGGAAAATTTGTAAGTTATTTGACAAACATTTAGGAAATAATACCAAATGGATYGTTGAATGAACTGGATGTGTTGTTCTCTTCATTGTCATGGGGTTTTTTCTCTGGGATCTCTGGTTTTCCTAATCCCATCAAAAAAATTTCTAGTTTTACAATGGTTAAAGCACTAAATAGCCAGTGGCTAACAAACCTGTGGCTCTCATTTCACAATCGAATTGTGATTTAAAAGGAGAGACCAGCAACAACCTATTTTTCCAGCCAATGTGACTACTGAATGAGAAAGGTGTATTTATAGGATGCAAATAATTTACCTTTCCAGTTGAAGTAGTCTTCTAGGATTGTCATGAGGGATGTCATCTGACAGAACATCAAAACCCTGAAGAAAGAAACACACACAGTCAAAGGTAATGAATAGAATAGTAGTAATGAATTATGCGTTCGGTGTGTATAATGAAATAGAGAGAATAAGAGAAAAATATCAAATGCCGTTGGCGGGAATCAAACCCACGTCTTCGGTATTCAAGTCGGATGTGTTAACCACTACACTACAAGGACCAACCACGCTGGTAACGCAGTCGGAATATGAAATGTAGGGTATTCGTGAGGATCCCAGAGCGATATTTTTTCTCTAAGGGTAATGAATAGATATTAATGTTGCAGCTATTATACAGTCATRCTTGTCAGGGATGGCTAAATTAAAAGAAAACCAACTGAAACTCTATTCACCTGTGCTTCCCAACACAGCAAATTGAATTGTGTTTTTTCCAATCCTACTATTCTCTTCAAAAGCTCTTTTTGACTTTARCATAATGTTCTTTCAATTTATGCCATGTCATTCCATGTCATTCCAAGATCCATAATATTTATGGATGCAACACAAACAAAGAATCTTTTTCCCATGAGAATGACATTGTCAGAAATGGAAAAARCATTACTCCCAAGACAAAAAGGTCTATACTATTTCACTCTTTACTCTTGTTACGATAATTCAAACAAGAGTAAAATGTTCCAGGTGCCACTATCAAACCCCATCCATCAAACAACAAGTA